ACATCTGCGCCCAGTCATCGAGCTGCTCAAGCTCGTGCTTGTTAAGCTCTGAAAGATCCACCATCATCACCTTTCCAAGGACTACACACCTCTCCGTTGTCGTCCGCTCATCCAGTATACTTTAGCTAGCAACCGAGACGCGTCGCGACCAGCAAATACATGATATCTGCTTTCAAGTGGGGTAACAGTCTAAATGACGAGCTCGCCTCACCCTCCACCAGGGCCGTAAAAGTCAGGCCTCGTCCACACATTGTACACCTTGCCTTTCACACCAATGAGGATAGGCGTATCATTCGGTCCATCATAGGCGCTCAGTTCAGCTGCCTGTAATAAGACAATCCCTTAGAGCAGTGTGAAGGCCATCTGACCGTCCAACCAGCCTTAGTTGGTATGGTCATCCGAGCGACTCGCCGCTCCCACTCCTCCTGCTTACGCCGTGCCCTATAGTCTTGATAGGTGTCGTACCTGGCGTGAGTGGGACTTCGAAGTATCTCATGATACTGCAGGTTACACCAGATAAGCTGCGAGGACTCCGCCTACAACTGCCACCGCATTAGTCCACTTACTCGTTGTATCTTTCGACATTCAAAGAAGGACGAAGGTCTTGAGACAAAATCTCTGTTCCATTAAATTGACCCCACCGACCGTTGACAATTCTACAGGAGGCTGTTGGAAGGAACGTGACGCAAACTGGTGATCATTCATCGCAATGGGAAATATATGATCCTGGTCATACGTGCTAGGACTGTTTTCAGATGAACTTCTTGAGGATGAAATAACACAGTGCGAGGGTCATCAGTATTATGAAGTTGACAACGGCTTGCTCTGAAAACAGGTATGCTCTCCTCTACTCACGAGAGATGCCGAGGCATTTCGAATCTCCGCCACTAACAGTCTCGATAGTGACCATACGGAATCATATAAGATCTTTTCGGCTAGCTGTACACTATGCAGCGTGGTCTAAGATATCCACTGCCAACTACACAGTGTAGCTGATAATTTTTTAAAGGCCGTCCAGTGTTCAAGTGCTAGTACTTCCAAATGAATAGAAGCCACGCATTGTAACAAGAGCAGATTATGGAAAGCATGCCACGTTAGACGGACGGCCAACGCTAGTTAATCTTCTCATAATGAGCCCCAGCCCAAACTCGACCTACCTAACAATGGATGCTGCCCCCCAAGCAGCGTGCTTTTCTTCCTGGCCTCCTTTTCGAGATCAGCCTTGGCTTGTGATGCCGAGGTCGGCAGAGTTTCCATGGGGACTGCCTCAGCGGCATTCACTTTGTTGGCCCTTCGACGTAGAACCCCATATTGATGAA